ACGAATGCGTAGGTGTAGATCTTGGGCGGGCGGGGGCGAGCATATATATATATATATGTATACATACAAATGTATGGTATACTCAAGAAGCCCTGATTAGCTGAATACGTCTAGCCGCTATGTTTTGACACCGACCCGCATATTTGCAACAGCGCACGGTTCACGCACTGCAAACGAAAGGGCCTGCATACGACTTTGTCCTGGGCTGCCTCGGCACTTCACACTTCTTTTTTAGGTCTGAGTCCATGCAACCACCATACGGGGGTTTCCGAAAATAGGGGTCCCTAATATAGTACCCTAAATGGTAGGATCCTTATTATAAGGACCCAAAATGAGGTACCCTGTATTTTCGGAAACTTCCATACAGACACAAAGCGAACATTGCCAGTCTGGTTCTGAGACTCGGGTCTTTGGGGTAGTCTCATGCTTGTTCCAGGAGTCGTAGGTCGTTCGAAACCAGGTCCCCGACTTATGTGTGCAGATGTTTACAAGCTGCAGAATGTGTTCATGAGCATCGTGACTAGGTACTCCTGAGGGACATCTACTCGTAGCAGGCTGCTATTTCCACTACTCTTTTGCTATTTTCGATATTGTGGCTAGTCAGTGCTCCGAGTGCGCAGTGTGGCAGGGTGCGACTTGGAGTACCGGACATGCGGAATGGGATTCGGAGACCAACGATCTGGCCCGCCGAGCTATCAGCCTAGGCGGGGTTCAGGAGTTGGTGCTTCTGCAGGGTTCGTGATACGTTGGACCGGATTTATGCAACCCCAAGCTGCAATTCGATTACATGCGACATGTTCCCCGTCGATCAAGCCAGCTACATATCTTCGCAGACAACGCTGAACAGATATACAACAGGAGCTGAGAAGAGAGAAAGGAACACAAGCTTGTGCGTGCGGCGTCTGCCTGTCTGTTTGTCTGTTTGCCGCTCTGTCTCTCTCTGTTCTTTGTTCTCCCTCCGTATCTGGCTCGTCTCTCTCTCTCTCTCGCGAGTAAACATGCATGCATACATACATATATATATATATATATATACACCCATATATATATATATGTAGATCTGTATGTCTGTCTGACTGTCTGTCTGTCTGTCTGTCTGTCTGTCTGTCTGTCTGTCTGTGTATGTATGCATGTATGTATGTATGCATGTATGTATGTATGTATGTATGTATGTAGTTAGTCAGTTAGGCAGGTGGGTAGGTAGACAGGCAGGCGGGTAGGTAGGTAGGTAGGTAGGTAGGTAGGTAGGTAGGTAGGTAGGTAGGTAGGTAGGTAGGTAGGTAGGTATGCAAGTGTGTACCTTTGTATGTGTGCATCTGCGTGTTCATACTAAATTCTGCATGACCCAATATAGTATAGTACCATAAATCCCATAATTTAGGTATATAAGGTCATGCAGGGTTTTGTCCATCAACCGTATGTGTATGTGGATATGTATGTATGTATGTATGTATGTATGTATGCATGTATGTATGTATGTATGTATGTATGTGTGCATGTACTGATATACATACATACATACATACATACATACATACATGCATGCATGCATGCATGCATGCATGCATGCATGCATGCATGCATGCACACAGACATACATACATATACACATAAGTATACAAAGCAGTGTCATACATGCATGCATAGATGTAGAAGGCTCCCTCTCTTGGCTCTCTGTTTGTCTTTAACTCCTGACCTGAGTCTGCTTTATTTTTGGTTTTAGGATTTCTGGTTTAGGGGTTGGGGGTTTAGTGGTTTAGGGTTTA